TTGCATAACAATTCTACAACTCGACTCTGGTTCACGAAGTAATGATTGTTTCTTCTAACTTAGGTCCAACTACAAAGCCTCCTCCAACGCCGACAACTTAAATGAGGTAAGTCCCACTTTACCCATTCTCTACCCCAGACGGTCGCTTTCTGGACTAAGCATCAGTCATGCGCAAACGAGAATAACTCTGGGCTTACCAAGAAGAATTCGATCCGGGGGGGTACTCCCATCTCAAAAGGACGGGGTGCTAAACGTACCCTTTAGGGGCTAAAAAAATGGTTTTGGTACGTCTTAAGGTGTTAAGCCTCAAAAGGTCCACAGCGGGAGCTTTTGCAATACCTTTCAGGGTATTGAGCCGAAAAAAATATGATGGGAGATATTTGACAATCAACTTTACAAGTAGAGGGTATTAGAAGGAATCGCCTTTATCAGTATTAAACTAAAAGATATGTAAAAAAAAAGGGCAAATCTTATTTATAGTGGTCATGCACTTAGCTACACAAGCACTAAGCTTAGCTAGTTTACAGGCATGCTACTGGAATAGAGGAAACAATACATTTATGAAAATGTGTGTTTTTAAAACTGGTACCTCTTAGGGGTGAGACAAATTTTAAGCCACGCCCACAAAACAGGATCTTGGTACCTATTGGGGGTTCTTTTCAAAATTTCCGACAAGCATCACCGTCCTTTTTTTATGGGAGTTCCCCCCGGGAGTTCGATGTGCAAAATGGTTAAATTATCACCTAGCTATTTATCAACTTGAATTTGATGACTGTTCTACGGAGCCTTTTTCGCCCGGGGAGAAGGGGGACTCCCATTTGAAAAGGTCGGGAATGCTCGTCGCGTCACTTCGGGGTATAAATCAAGGATTCTGGTCTTGCTTAAGGTGTCAATGACGAAACGCCACAATTTTTAGCTGTCAAAGTGTCTTTTAGGGTACGATCGAATAAATAATAATAATAAAAGAAACGCTCTTATTTCCGTTTTTAGTCTAGATTTCCGCCGGTCTCTTGAGTACAGTCTACTAGCACGGGCACTTTTTCTAAACAGCGGCTGGTTATCAGGCCTATTCCGTTTTAAGTGGTATCTTTTAGGGGTCAAATAAAGCCCGAGCCATGTTCAGATTGGTCTCCTTTAGGGGTTTAATTCAAATTTCCCAACGAGTATCCCCGATTTCACTATGTTATCGCTTTGTGCGTGACTATAATTAGTTCTTCATTATTTTTTGTAGGTCGTAAACTTGCTTGAGAGCGATCAACATTCGGGCCTATTCTGGGGAACATGATGCAATGTAACTAGGCGTGCAAACATGCATGTTGACT